GCTTTTTCATAGTAGGAGGAGTTTTCCGAGTGTGGGCAACTAACCCGACGCCTCAACCCATTTTTTTATAGTTCTTATGGGTGAACTCGCGGCACATATTAGATCACTATTTCAACGGGTGATGAAAGTAGTTACCCCAGATGACACCGCGGGGAGTTCTGTGTTGAGATGAAAGAGGGACCAAGATAAGCCTGGGCTTCGCCATGTAAAAACCAATCAGAGCCGTTGCTTGGTATCTATCATCCCCTACGTCATCTATATTAAAAATTTCACACCTTGAAAAAATATTTTTTTTAAATCAACGACTATTGAGAGAACTTGGAAAAATCCACGCGTTGAAAAAATATTTTTTTTAAATCAACGACTATTGAGAGAACTTGGAAAAATCCACGCGTTGAAAAATATTTTTTTTAAATCAATGACTATTGAGAGAACTTGGAAAAATCCACGCATTGAAAAAATATTTTTTAAAAATCCACGACTATTGAGAGATCTTGAAAAAAATCCACGTCTGGAAAAATATATTTTAAAAAAATCCACGCCTTGAAAAAATATTTTTCAAAAATCCACGCATTGAAAAAATATTTTTCAAAAATCCACGCATTGAAAAAATATTTTTCAAAAATCCACGCATTGAAAAAATATTTTTTAAAAATCCACGCCTTGAAAAAATATTTTTAAAAAATCCACGCCTTGAAAAAATATTCTTTAAAAATCCACGCCTTGAAAAAATATTCTTTAAAAATCCACGCCTTGAAAAAATATTCTTTAAAAATCCACGCCTTGAAAAAATATTCTTTAAAAATCCACGCCTTGAAAAAATATTCTTTAAAAATCCACGCCTTGAAAAAATACTTTTTTTAAAAATCCACGCCTTGAAAAAATATTTTTTAAAAATCCACGCCTTGAAAAAATATTTTTTAAAAATCCACGCCTTGAAAAAATATTTTTTAAAAATCCACGCCTTGAAAAAATATTTTTTAAAAATCCACGCCTTGAAAAAATATTTTTTAAAAATCCACGCCTTGAAAAAATATTTTTTAAAAATCCAAGCCTTGAATAAATATTTTTTAAAAATCCACGCCTTGATAAAATATTTTTTTTAAATCCAAGCCTTGAAAAAATATTTTTAAAAAATTCAAGCCTTGAAAAAATATTTTTAAAAAATTCAAGGCTTAAAATTTTTTTTTTAAAAATCCACGCCTTGAAAAAATATTTTTAAAAAATCCACGCCTTGAAAAAATATTTTTAAAAAATCCACGCCTTGAAAAAATATTTTTTAAAAATCCACGCCTTGAAAAAATATTTTTTAAAAATCCACGCCTTGAAAAAATATTTTTTAAAAATCCACGCCTTGAAAAAATATTTTTTAAAAATCCACGCCATGAAAAAATATTTTTTAAAAATCCACGCCTTGGAAAAAATATTTTTTATGAACCATTGAGAAAAGTTAATTCGTTTCCCAGGCTAACTCTACAATAACTCTTGATAAAATATTTTTTTTTAAATCCAAGCCTTGAAAAAATATTTTTAAAAAATCCACGCCTTGAAATTTTTTTTTTAAAATCCACAGCTTGAAAAAATATTTTTTAAAAAATACACACCTAGAAAAATATTTTAAAAAAATCCACGCCTTGAAAAAATATTTTTAAAAATCCACGCCTTGAAAAAATATTTTTAAAAAATCCACGCCTTGAAACAATATTTTTAAAAAAATCCACGCCTTGAAAAAATACTTTAAAGAAATCCAAGCTTTGAAAAAAAAAAAATTTAAAAATCCACGCCTTGAAAAAATATTTTTTTAAAAATCCACCCCTTGAAAAAAATATTTTTTATGAACCATTGAGAAAAGTTAATTCGTTTCCCAGGCTAACTCTACATATTTTATTCTATTTTATTTTCCCTTTCGCAGACTAAATTCATAGAACCTTCTTATTAATTTTCAAATATTTCCCAGTGCTAAGATTTTTTTCAATTCACCATCCGCAATTAAAAACAAAAAAAACTTCTCCATTCGTAATAAAACTCCTTTGGCCAAGAGACAGGAAATGCCTTTGAACCAAGCATCGCAAAGCATAAATATGTTTGTGTGTTATTTAGAGGCGTGTGTGTATGTTTGCCGCAAACCCTAGTTGATTGTTTCACCTTTTTCACTGAATATTGCATATTTCTTTTTTTCAAAACAGAAATCTTTAGTTTCGTAATACTTGAAACCGCAGCTGCTACTGCTTTTAACTTCTTCTTCCTCGTCATCGGTTCTTGAGGTCGGCCATGGAGTTTCTTTTGGTTGCTGATAGGTTAGCTTTTTTTTCCTACTCAAATGGTTTGTTATTGCTTTCACAATACCTTCATAATGAAGAAGAAGGAAAAAAGGGGTTATTAATTTGTTTGCATGAATCTCATTTCAATTCCTTGGAAGGCAACAACTCCAAGAAACCCAGAAACAAAACCAAGTGATTGAAATTGAAGAAACAACTGAAATGAAAAAACGAACGAACGAACACAAGACAAGTCTCAAACCCAAAACCGAACGACCCACCACACTTTCGAAGAGTGTGTTCTGTGTCTCTTTGTTGGTTTGTCAAAATCTGTTATGTGCGGTTAGTTGCAGATTATCTATCTATCTTTGGCTGATATTCGAGCAGTCATTGTTGTCAGTTGTTCGTTCGGTTGTTATGGCCTTTCTTAGTTAAATGAAAGATCCATTTACTTTCTTATGATAATGACACAGTTATATGGAAGGAAGGAAAATATACATATGAATATTATTTACGTACTTTACTACTTCTTTGTTGTTCGGATTTTTTTCTTTATATTCAATTTTGAAGTTATCATGAGAATAAAAAAAACAAAAGAATTTACTACTGTTTGAAATAAATGATTTTATGTAAATGAGGTTATTATCAGTAGGGAAAATTATAATGCCAACAAAAAAAGTTGTTGTCAAGTATTGTGAAATAAGGTTAAAGTTCGAATTGACTGAGCTATGGTGCATTGTCCACAAACATGTCGGATAAATAAATAAAATAAACAAATAATAAGAAACTATAAAACAAATATTTACCAGTAAGGAAAGATCAAAATTCGGACCGGGCCGACTATAAGATACTCTTCACCCCTTTGGGTACATACAAGAGATGCTAGATTTAGACCTAATTCAGCAGGCTGTGCAAATTGTTTGTGCCAATCGGGCTAAATTTGATTCCATTGGTGCTCCATTTACATAAAATCGGACGAAACTATATATGGGAGCTATATCTAAATCTGAATCGATTCCAACAAAACTTGGCATACATCAATCTGGACCTAACTCAGTAATCTGTGTAAAATTTTGTCTCAATCGGACCAATATTGGGAGTTTGGAGCACCATTTACATAAAATCGGACGAAAGTATATATGGGAGCTATATCTAAATCTGAAACGATTTCAACAAAACTTGGCATATATCAATCTAGACCTAATTCAGAACTCTGTGCAAAATGTTGTCTCAATCGGACGAATATTGGCAGTATGGTGCTCAATTTACATAAAACCGGACGAAACTATATATGGGAGCTATATATAATTCTGAACCGATTTCAACAAAACTTGACATACATCAATCTGGACCTAATTCAACACTCTGTGTAAAATTTTGTATCAATCGGACCAATATTGGCAGTATGGTGTTCCATTTACATAAAATCGGACGAAACTATATATGGGAGCTATATCTACATCTGAACCGATTTCAACAAAACTTGGCATACATCACTGTGGACCTAATTCAGTACTCTGTGTAAAATGTTGTCATAATCGGACCAATATTGGGAGTTTGGTGCATCAATAAGGTAAAATCGGACGAAAATATATATAGGAGCTATATCTAAATCTCAGCCGATTTTCTCCAATTTCAATAGGGGTTAGTCCTTGGGCCTATGCCAAATTTCATCCAAATCGGATCATAAATGCAAGCTGTACTTTGCTCACAAAAATACATGGACGGAGGGAACGATGGACGGACATGCATAAATCGACTCAGAAAGTGATTCTATGCATATTCTCAAAAGCAACCAAGGGTCTATCTTGATTTCATTTGCCTGTTACAAACATATGCACAAAGACGTAATACCCTGTACCACATTGTGGTGAAGGGTATAACAACGTCGTTAAATTCAGCATAGCTTCACAATAGGGCCTTGAACATACTCTAAAGGATGCGTGACGGTTGAAAAATATGTCTAAAAGCCTCAAAATTCCGATTAGCGGGGTTACCATTATATGGTGGCTATACAGAAAGAAGGACCTATATTGAAAAAAATTTTGATTGTGGGATTTTTCACCCAATGAGAATCCAAAATATAAAACTACTGTTAAATTTGTTTAAAAATGTCCCCATATTCACCAATATAGCGAAATTTGGGAAGTTACGTTATAATGGGGGCAACTTTAAAAACTTGGCCAATTGATAATTTTTTGAAGTTAGATTTGCTATCCAATTATAAACCAAGCACACAAAATTGCTGCTAATTTCTTTGAAAACGTGTCCAAACTCCCAAAAATACGGAATATCGGCATACATCAAAACATGAATCAATATTGATAATTTTTGGTGGGGATATTTGATACCCAATGTGAAGCGAAAATTCCAAATTTCAGCCATATCTGTTTTGTGAAAATACAAATTATTGCGTTTATACAGTAGTTTGTAAATAATGCGGCTCTAATTCAATTACACCCAACATTTATACACATTTCATATGAGTTTCTTTACAATAATCTCTAAGAATTAAAAATATATAAATATTTTAATACAAAAAATTAAAATAATATACCTCAATTATCCACTTGATATCCTTCTTACGAAATAACTTGCAATAAAATTTGAATTATCTTGCTTCTCCATGCATTTTCTTGCACTCCAATTGAATTTATTTTACACGATATTTATTTCCTTTTTTCGTTTCTTAACAAAACATTTGTAATGTAGAATTATGTTTTCTTTTCATTTTTGTTTAATTTATTGACTATTGACTAAAAACACAGATATCTTTGCCTTTAATTTTTCTTTTCTTTGGTGGGATCAGCCATCAAAGAATTATCGATTTGTCTCACACCCATATAGGCATGATGATTGAGGGGTGGGAAGAATTCCCAGCCTTCTTGAATGGAAGTCTTCTTAATGACACCGGCAATACCTAGAAGAGAGGGGATAGAACAGTTAATAATAAATATTATTCTCAAATGTTTTTTTTTTCAAAAACTCACCGAAGAAAAGACCCATAACAAGACCAGCAACATGGCTACGTCTCCAGGCACCAAAGACACCACCAGCAGCAAAACCACCAATGAAGTAGTTTAGTCTGATGTGGAGAAGGAGAAAAGTGCGTTATTAAATAATCGAAAATATGAATGAACACAGGATGAATTACAAAATAAAATAGCTCATAATCAAGTATGTGCAAAATCGTAGGCCCTAGAGTCTTCTATACATAAACGTAACTGCATGAGAAAAAATAAATCTCAGAGCCTTCTTCTTCTACATCGGATTGAAGCCCTAATAGTCTTTTTGGAAAAGAATAGAAGACCTTAAAGACTTCTATAAGGTAATATAATAACATTGTTCTTCTTAAAGGAATATTATTATAAAATATTTCTTAAATAGTATAAGACTTATTGACAATCTATAAGGCCTACTTGTCTTTTATATGCAATATAGAAGACCTATTGGTCTTTTATGAGTTATAGAAGATATATTGATCTTCTATAAGAGATGTAAGATTTATTGGTCTTCTCTATGGAATAAAAGCCCTATAAGTCTTATATAAGGAAAATATGTCCTATTGACCTTCTCTAGGAATATAAGACCTATTGGTCTTCTCTTAGGAATGGAAGACCTATTGATCTTCTATGAGGTAAAAAAGACCTATTGGTCTACTATAAGAAATAGAAGACATATTGGTCTTATATAAGCAATAGAAACACTATTGGAAAATAAGACCTATTGGTCTTCCATGTGGTAAAGAAGACCTATTGGTCCATTAGAAGAACTTATATTACTTATTGGTCTCATTAAAGAAGACCTATGGGTTTTCTATTACGTATAAAACACAATAGAGGAGCTATTGACATAGAGGACCTATTCTATAAAAAATAAGAAATGACAGATTCATAGGAATAAAACATAAGGGGTTTCTACACAGAATAGAATATCTCTCGGCCTTTTAACGGGATATAGATGTTCTTGGAACTTCTGTAGGTCATGTAGGTCAAGAAATCATCATCCTTCTATTCTTTTGGAATATATATTCTATTGAGATCCAGCACAGACGTAAGGAATAGTTTAAAGCTTTTTGATAGGCAGGAGTTATTAAATGGACAAAGATGTTGTTGTTATAGCAGCCCCACCGATGTTACACAATGGGCTAAGGTGACAAATTTTGACAAAGTACGACTCGTGTCGTTTCCGATTGTTGATCCCTCTGTCGTGAAAACGGGACATCAGTGTTGTTGTTTTAACAGCCCTATTGCTTTTACAATTTACCTCAGTCCACTGTGGACCTCTGTGTCAAGATACTATGGAATGCGTCCTCATGTTGAGAGTGACACCATTCTGAAATACGTAACTTCCTATGAGCACTGCCAACGCACGACTCTATTGCTGAAGTTAATAAATTTTTTCCAGTTTCCCGATTCTTTCACAGTTTCATAACTTCCTATCAGTACTGTCAACGGACAAGTCTATTGTTGAATTTGTTAACATTTCCTAGTTTCCCGATTCATTCACAATTTCCCCTTCAACACCTTTCCAACTGCTTAACAGCCTAACGGCTTTAAGGACTTTAAAATATATTAATTATTTTTTTTATTATTTGAATTTGTCCCCGGAATGTTGTCGAGCATACTCCGAAGGTTTCTTGGCCGGTATATCACCAGGAGCATTAAAAGATTTTACAGGTTAAATTCTATTTTCTCCAAAAACTTGATTTAATCATGATTTTTATCAAATCCATATTTGCTAATGAAATCCACTGTGCATATTGAATTTTGGATACTCTAATGTAAACTTCTCTCGGGTGCAAAATTTTGGCTGTGAAATAATACATAATCAACATTTTCCTCCAAACTACAGGTTTCACAATAGGCTATTGGAACCGCTTTCATTCTCTCCAATATTAAATATCAGAATTCCCATCCACTTACCTATCATCCTTGCCACGAACATTTGTCGACAAATATGTGGCCAATGTGAATGCCGAAGCCATACCCATCATTGGACCGGTATTATAGGCAAAGCGAGCCAATGTTGGCAAATAACCCTTGGGATGGGTCAACATCAACACATCAACGGTGGACCAAGCCAAACCGGCTGTGGCGGCATAAGTGTTGGTCGCAACCATTTTGCCAAACAAGTCTTGACCCTCGGGTTTATCATAGTAGCCGGTCTTTGACAGAGCCATTTTGACTGCAAAAGAAAAAATAAATATTTAACAATAATATATAACAAAATTAACATATATAACATTTGTTGAATTGGTTCTTCTTTTCCACAATCTACCAATTGCCATGTAGTGAGGATGATCATTGTTTGCAAAAGTCTATGTTGGTTTATGTCCCGATCACCAAAGCTTTCGAAAACCATAAATCAATCACTGGTGTCATTAATTTATATTTTTGATTATTAATTGTCGTTTTTCTGCCATATTTATTTAAATATTTAACAAAAATCACTAACCTGCTGCTAATTTTACGTAATTTCGTACAAAACAGTAATTTAGCCAATTGTCAAAATGACAATCTAACACAGCTGTTGATGGTTTGCAAATTTGGCAGCACTTTTTTGCCAAACATTCTTGATGAGGCAATGCTGTGCAAATGTTGACAGTTAGTGGAGACGTATGTCAAAGCATTAAATGGTTGTGATCGAAAATTTAAAGAACAAATACTCAATGTCACAGAGGATTTGAACCAAATTTAGATAATGAATGAGTTTATAATTCATTTACATCAATGTTGAATAGAACAAAATCGTGAGTAGATGTGTGAGAGCATAAAGCGGCATTAGAGCTTTTTACCGAGTTGACCTACTCTATGAGGATTTATTTGACATGTATACAATGGAATTGGCAATTGAAACCCACTGTGTTAACGAAATCCGGTACAATGTAAACTTACTATAACTGAGAGATCATCATTAAAAAATGCAGACGAAAAAATATATAAAACGGCATGTACACTAGAACTTTTTCACCGGGTTAACCTACTTTATGAGGATTTATTTGACATATATGCAAAGGAATTGACAATTGAAACCCACTGGGTTAACGAAATCCGGTTAAATGTAAACGTATTATAAGAGACTACGTGTCTAGCTATAGGCACGTTTAGATTTACGAAATCCACTCGATTTCAAATGAGATGACCTTTATTTTGCCATGGTTTCATTGTAATTAGTGGATGTGATGCAAATGTGGTATAGGTTGGTAATGTGGTATATTCACTTTTTTTGTAAACTGAAAATTTTAGAATAACTGAAACATGTTCTATAGTTTGCTGTTCTTAAAAAAATAAGATAGCAATGACCTGTTTAATTTATTTAAATCACGTTGAGAATCAGTACCAAAAATAAAATTTTTCATGAAAATGACTTTTTTCGATTGAAGTTTAAAAATATTTTTTTTGTTTTACGGATGTACTTTAATCGTTATTACTAAAGCATTAAAATAATCAGTATGAACTAAAAATCAAATAATATGCGCGATTGCACCACATAATCACCAATTTGAAAAAAAAAACTAGACATTTCTTCAGTAAACACAAGTGTAGGTAATGTGGTATACCTTGATTCTGCATGAAAAAAGGCCAGCACTAGACAAAATCTCATTTCTATGTGAAACATTTGTACTCTACGAGAGTCTACCATGAATCACAAGGATGAAAAACAAAGGCTATTGTTTGAACAACTTCTCCATACAAAAATTAAATATTGCCATGTGTAGACATTATTATATAATAAAAATAAAAGTTGCACTCAACGTATCCGTTAAAAATCTTAACAGACATAAATCTCGAGCTAATTCGCATTCATTAAAAACAATAAATTATATAAGATATCAATTGGAAGTGAAAATTATACTATACCACATTAACATCATGTGGTATACCACATTACCAGCACTTTTTTTAAAATCACTTTTTATGTGATTTCAAATATTTTCTCAAACATCTCGTAAATTGTTAGAATAATATTATTTTCAAATTGATACATGAAAAGACAACACATGTAGCATGTTAAGTGCAAAATTTCAATTTAATCGGATAAAAAATAAAAATTTGGCAATCTAAAAACAAATGGGTATACCACATTTGCATCACCTCCTATAGTATCGTCGATTTTAGTACTTGATGTCGTTTTCACCATAAATTGACGATAATGAATTTGTCATCGATTATTCGACATTTCTAGTAGACTCAAGAACCAACATAGCTTTAATCATTTTTGACATATCGACTATTATATCAAAGCCTTGAACCTGTCTCGTGTAGTGTCGTTGATAATTTGGCCGTATTTACACAGCCGTTTCTTCTTCATTATGTCAAAATTTTAGACGAAGCGAAATATGTACATTTTGCTTCAACTAAGGCGAATTGAGGACAATTCACATCAAGGTTTATTCCAAGGTAGATTACAAGGTAGCCGCATTGGCGAATTTCTACAACAAACATAGGTAGTTGTATTTTGATATGTCAAAAATATTTTGTCAAAACAAATGGATTGACAATATTTTTTACACAAAATCTTGTAGAAAATTTTAATAAAAGTATTGAAAAAAACCTCTTCGAAATTCGGAGATTTTCATTTATAATTTTGTGTTTTAATTTTTTGGTTCAACATTACAACTACATTTTTGACATGTATTTGCACCAACAGCTAGGCCGATCCGGCTACCTTATAATATACTTTGGTTTATTCCATGGCACAATGAATAGGTAGTCCATTTAGAGCAGCTGATGTCTTGATTAACTGTCAAAGTGGTCAATTTTACTTGAATTCGATGTGCAATGCTGCCAAATTTTTGAAATATTATAAGGAAAAATTTGACAGATAATCGAGACAAAAAAATGTTTTTGTTTTTATACATCACCTTATTATTGCATCATGGTTTATTCATAAGATTAACCGGGAGCCGAATTCGAAGTCTTCATTGATCACGATCCAAGTAACAGGTCGTGTAATAGTCTGAAAACGTAAACAAATTTTTTGACAGTTTGAGGGATTTTCCTGTTAATTGGAAAATGTCATTGACTGTCAAATTTATTGTTTTAAGAATTAATAAACAAAAACTATTTTTGAGTTTGTATGCCTTTTTACGGCGAAAGATTATTATTCGAACAAAAATATGCGTGCACATTACTATCATTACTTTTATTAAATACATATTAAATTATTGACATTGAATTCGCCCGAGAGACCTTATTTGATAGGCCATGATCCACATATTAAAATTTTCTCAACTATAATCCCTGCTCTGCCAAGTTGAATAAATACCATCAATTCATTGAATTTTTTTGTTATTTCATAATTTTCTTTTTTTGTAATAATTTATTAAAATCTAAAATATTTTATTTGTTGTTTTAATTTATTCATTTCAAATTACACATACATACAATTAAAACAAATACAATTGCAGCAAATGTAGTATTAATGAATTCACAAAAAAGGAAGAGGGACACAATTATTAGAGAATATAATTAATATTGTTGTTGTTTTGTTTTTTATAAAATTTGTATTTTTAATTCGTGATGAATACTAAAAAATATTTTTGGCATACAATTAATTATTTTCTTTTAGAAATAATTTAAAGGTCGATAGATTTAAAATTTTTACGATATATTTTATTTTGAGCATACACAGTGTCAGATGGAAACAAAAACAAATGAAATGAAATAAAATAATAATTGTACTACAAACTAGCCGAAAAAATGCATAGAAACATGATACAATTAAAATGATAAACATGGTAAACTTGGTACCACTTTTTATTTGGTTAAAGGCAATCCTTTAAGATTTACGTGTGGCAAATGAATGGCAAACACATGTTTTTTCATTTGTAATACTAAAAATAAAATATTTCCCGCAAGTTTATCTTATTAATTATACCATGCATATTGTATCTTTGCAAATAAACTGAAAAAATTAACAAAATATAACAATATAAAAAACAGAGTTAAAATTTTTGGCAACGTTTACACAAGTTCCTTATAACGGAAGTACTGGATATATATGCTTTTAATTTGCTACTAATAAAAAATGTGTGTCACAGTATTATAAAAACAAATTAGGAGGCCAACATAATTATTTTTTTGTTTTGCAATTAATTTCATAAATCAGTCATTATGTTTTTAAATCGTTTCATGTTTTTTTCTATGATAATTTTCCGATAACATTATTATGTCCAGGGTTCAACTTTTACGTTTTTTTTCTCATGTCACACATTTTCAATCCAATGTTCTCTTTTCTCTTTTTAGTTTAGGTCATGTCCAATTATTTCAATATCATCAGCCAAGGGACTTTCTACTTCGGGACTTGTAGGTTTCTTCAAATCAGCTTTATTATCCAGATTAATTAGCGATAATGTCATTTTACTACTCAATATAACCTAAAAAAAGAGGAATGATTATATATTTTTTCCATTAAATATTAATTATTGTATTATTATTGCTTACAGCTGGTTCTTCTTCAGATCCATTAAGTTCAGCATCATAAACTTCTTCCTGCTTGATTTCCGAATCGGAAACCAAAATCTGTGAATCATGGGCCAAGGAGCCTTCCAAATAAATTGATTGTGGTTCTGGCTTATCATCTTCAGATTTGGACTGAAATAAAAGAGAATAAGATTTAATTTCGAAACCAATCATAAAAACCAAAATACTGTGTTATCTAAGCAGTGTCTAAATTCCCTAATGAAAAAGAAACCAAATTATAAAACTCACATGTTCGTGATGGTGTGACAGTACCGGAGTTGGAGGACGACCAGACCATTTATGGCCTCCCTCACAACTGGCTGTTACTTCCATTCCAAGAACCTTTAAATCAAAAGAAAATAAAATGAAATTAAAATGAAAAATAAAACGTAAGAAATAAACAGGTTCTTTAAGCTCGAACGAACTTTTTACGAGGGCAGTTCGGAAAGTTTTTAGCCTAGCACAAAAAGCACGGTATAAACAGAAAAAAGTTAAGTGTTTTGGAATATTCATCTCTGTTATTAACACATGTTAAATATTGTTTCGATCTGACAACTCCTTCATATATAAACAGGTGTTCAAAAAAGATGCATCCGCAATTGTTTACAATGGAAAAATTAGAAATGCGTGCTTTCATCGGATGCGCCTTGTTTCTATATGCAGAAGTTGCCAGATCGAAACAAAATTTAACATGTGTACATAAGAGACATGGAGGTTTCCAAAACACTTTCTACAGGGAGAGAATTTGGTCTGACAACGATAATAATTCTGCCAGGAAGGGGCTGAAAAATATATATGGAATTGTCCTCAACCTAATAAGCAGGAAGAAACTGCTGCAAAAATGGCTTCCGAAAATTGATTCCGAACAATCCTTTAATACGAGTCTAAAAGGGAAATTTTAAATAATTCGGACCTAGAGGAAAATTGTTAAGCATTTTTTTAATTATTGGGGAATACGTATTATCAGCCTTTTCTGCAGAGGAGAGGAAATGTAGTTAAACAGGCATATAATTTTTGTATACAGACCGCTTATTATAATCAATTTATTTTGTGTCTCAATTTTCGAATAGATGTGTCCTACATTCACTCAAAGATGACAGACGTGTTTAGGACCGCTTTAACAGAAAAGCTGATCTTTAGTTATTCTAAAGAACAATTTATAGACTTTTTATAAACAGTTTACATCACTGCAGGTCCATTCAGAAGGTAAGAAGCAAATATTATATTTAATTTTTTTTTGTTACGTTTCAATTTTTTGTTTACGTTTTCATACGATTATGTCAATATTTTGAGCATTTTGACATCTCCGGTGAAATCAGCTGACCATATCGGGCGACCTTCTTATTGACACATGCATCACTGTTTTCATTTATTTCTTTTCTGTTAACTTGGCATCACTGTTGTTGACGCTAACTACCAGTTCACACAGACCAATATCTTTGACAATAAAATATTATAAATTGTTAAACAAAAAATACTCACCGAAACTGTACGATCAGCACTTCCGTCTCTCTTTTTACGTTTATCATCCGTTGCCTGTTCCGATTTTTTCAACTCTGTTTCTTTTTCTACTTTACTATCGTCACCAGATATGGTCTCAGGAATATTTGCATGCCCATTGGAAATGTTTTCTTTTTGTTGTTGCTGTTGGTTCGTGGTCGAATTTTCGTTGGAATTTTTCTATGTTACAGGGATGATGGAAAAAAATTGTTAAAATTCAGTTACACACAAAAAATCCGAAAACAACATAAAACACAAAATTTGTTAAAAATGTTTACAAAAAACAAGAAATATTAATTTGTTATAGAAAAGAAAGGGTAACAAAAACAAAAATTATTAGTATTTGTTGTATTTTTTAATAAAAATTATTGTTATCAAAAATCAAAATACAAAATTTGTATTAGTAGTGTTATTCAGCAGCGTGGAGTGGATTAAGAGGCATGTTTGTTTTTTTGGGTTTTTTCACATTTTTGTACATCTATCTGCAAAATCATTTCAAAATCTAAGCGCTAACCTTGTTTGGATCGGTGTTGGCGTTGGTCGAAGTCTCTCGTAATTTTAATTCTTCGTCAGCAGCATCAATTAAACCTTGTATAGCTGTTACTACTACGTTACGTAATTTTTTTGAATGGTTTATGGGATTTTTTTGTTTGTTTTCATCATAAATTGGGGGTTTTATCGAGCAATGTATGAAAAATACAATATCAAATTATTGATTTTTTATTTTATTTTTTGTTTTTTTTATAATGCATTTTGATGAATGTTTATGTGCTCTTGGAATGAAATTGAACGACAAGAAATGTTCCTGTTTATGTGACAACATAACATGATACAATAAAACTGTAGGATATCTTGAGACATATTCATACTAAACCTTTTATCGTGATTCAGTTGCTAAATCGAGATCAATTTACCACGTTTTACCCTACAAAATTAAATCAACTCAAATCATATTCCAAATTAATATAATTTCAATTACAATTGCTTTTGCACCAAAAAATTTCATTACTGATCCTAAAAGTATGCTTCAAAATACATTTTTGACTTAATTGATTGAAAAACTGCCACAGAAACTCTGAAATCATTGAAATGTGTATGTATACGTAAACAAATAACAGCTGACAAATCAACACAATGTCATTTAATACTAATTTAAACTGCTACATTTAAAATACATTAGTTACGTTCCAGATCCAAAAAGAATCTATTTATTTTACAAATTTTGCAACTTTCCCTATTTCCCTTTTACCAGCATTACTATTAAAAAAGTACTGGAACAGACCAATTGTCTATACGCGTCTTTGAAGTGAAATTTATGACAATCGTTCCGTATGTCACTAACATACTCTCTAAATATTATTTTCTAACTTATGATTTACACAGGGCATTAATGATTAGACAAATACAACCCTGTTATATCAATGCATTTCTACTCGTTTTAGTCGATTTTTTAATTTCGAAAAAGACACATTTTTGTTAGAAATTAAAAATCGAAAGATCATAAAGTCAACGTTGACTACGTATTCCTTAACTATAGAAATGCTGTGGCTGGTTTTAGAAATAATGCATTAATTGAGACTCAAAATTGAAATAAATCTTCTAAAAAGATATAGTGTTCTAATTTTTAATAGATACACAATACACAATACAACGATACACAAATACACAGCAAAAATTGTAATCAGATCGTAGTTATACCATGAGTTGACATAAATTGTAAATTATGTCAAGGTATATATAAATGATCTATATATATAATATTATATAAATGTGCAATCATTTTTATATCGACATAGTCTAAATTCGCGTTTACTCTAATAAATCCGGGTTAAAAAGGCATTTACATTATAACGTTTTGCTGGGCTAACCATCTTTATTAGGATTTAGTTCTAATCGACACTGTACTGTACGGTCGTGTTTGTGTTTCGCTCCTATAAATTTACAATTTTTTCGCCTCGTCGCAGCAAAAGCATCATATAATCTGCGCCATTGATCTCTCACAGTTTCGCCAACATTGTGTGCTATCGAGTATTCGCATTTCTTTGTGATGTTAAGCAGTTAGAAATACAAAACAAAAACCAATATTGATAAATTTTACCATTCCCTTTTATGCTATCATTCGTAAATAACATAAATAGAAGTGCTCTCATTATCTTTAGTTGCTGTTGAACCTACCTGTTCATATACAAGTACGTACGTCATCTCGCATTCTGTTTTTCGTTTATCGTACCTGTTCACTGGCTTGAACTTGTGAACCTGTTATCTTCCCTGCTATCGTTGCGGTGTGTGTCCTGGATTGACTAACCTGTTTACATCACCCTGTTTCACTACATCAACTACATCACCCTGTTTCACTACAACACCCTGTTTTTGCTGTATCAACCTGATTAAAACCCTGTTACACCGTTTCCATCGCAAATAAATTTTACGTTGTTTCAAATTTTACAACTTTTTTCTGTACGTCATATTGTAAAAATATATTACTGTAATGGCGTGTTTAAATAAAAATTGCAAAATAAAATCAGACGAAAGAATGATAACATGCTGGTTATGTCACGAAAATTGCCATCTTAAATGTAGTGACATTTCTGGACTTGTTGCGGATGCAATTTCGAACAACAAGGGACTTCACTGGTGCTGTGTGGATTGCAGAAAAATTGGAGTGAGCTTTTACCGATTTTTCCAATCTCAAAAACAAACTTTTCTGCAGATTCTAGAAGATTCAGCTAAACTCTCTAATCGAATAAGTGATTACGGTAAATTATTTGAAAATTATAAGCTGTTAGAGAATATGAATTCACCACAATCATCTCCGAAGCGTCGAAAATCAACTAGGAATGCAAACAAAGAAAAACGCTCTGAAAATAACTATAGTACATCATTATCAAACACCCCTTCCGTGCCAATGCTTGATTCTACTTCCTACAATTCATCACCTATACCTAATCTTCCTTCATCCAATCCCCCTACGTCAAATAATCCAATTAGTTCATACAGTACTTCCGTTAATGATGTACCTCCTACCAGGCTTGAACGCCTAACAAACCATGTTCCTGAATCAGTCGCCAATCCTTCTTCGCCTTATAACGTAACCCCTGTTGAGGTTATCCTTACTGCCGTCCCGCCAAAAAGAAGCATTTTCATTTCAAGACTTCCAGCGGATACCACTACTGAGACAATTGACCGTTACATCACATCTAAAATTGGAAAATTTAATGATATTAACATACATAAATTCAATTTTTCGCAACAACGCTCAATTGCATCATTCAAAATTACAACCTCTGATGAAATGTATACTCGTCTTATTGATCCTGAGTTCTGGCCGAAACATACTATAGTTCGTGAATACGTATATAGAGAAAGACAAATGCCTGATAATAATGGTTACATTCATCAAAACTCTGTTAACTTTTCAAAAAACTAAGCACTTTTTGTAATGATACATTATCTATAGCCTATCAAAACGTCCGCGGAATTCGATCTAAAATATCGAAATTGTATGTTGACAGTTTTACCTTTGATCATCATATCTTAGTAATGACTGAGACCTGGTTAAATGAACGTATTTTAAACTCGGAAATTCTGTCAAATAAATACAATATCTTTAGACGTGACCGTGTAAGCAACGGCGGTGGAGTGCTCATAGCTGTCTCCAATATATTTTCATGCCAATTACTGGATCTTGATTCTTCCCTTGATATTGAGTTCATTGCTGTCGAAGTAAAAAACAATTTGAAAAAAATGTTTATAACATGCTCATATATTCCTCCATCATCACCGCAAATAATTTATGAAAAGCATACCCATGCATTAAAAGCAGTTTTACAAAAAACTAAGCCAGAGGATCTAATTTGTATACTTGGCGATTTTAATATACCAAACATGTTGTGGAATTTTTTACCTGGGGATAAATACCTGCTGCCCGAAAATATACACAAATTTTATGAATTATTCTTCGATACACTTTTTGATCTTGGTATTTTTCAAATAAATTGTATCCGTAACACCTATAATAAGTTATTGGACCTGATATTTGTAAATCAAGTGGATGATTGTTACATTCAACGAATTGATCCGTTAACATTTCCCGAAGACCAGCACCATCCAACTATCAAAATTAATGTTTCGTTTCCTACTGGAAACCAAATCATACCCGGGACTCAAAGTGAGAAATCCTTATGTTTTTCGAAAACAAACTTTGAGCAGTTACGTGAACTTATGCATAACACAGACTGGGATATCCTTTTGTCTAGCGCTTACGATTTAAATGGTGCTATCGATATTTTTTACAAAAAGCTATACGATTTTATTGATATCAGCGTACCGAAATATGTAATTAAGAAGCTTTCTGGGCCACCATGGAACTCTATAGCTTTGGCAAAGGCTAAAAATGTGAAAAATAAACAATATAAGAAATATAAAAAGACAGGATCTTCCATTGACTACGGAAGATATTCTGTAGCACGGTCTGAATATACTACTATGAATAATATTTGCTATTCAAATTATCTGACAAAACTCAAAAACAACTTTAAACAGAATCCGAAGTCCTTCTTCAAATTTGTCAATTCGAAGCGCAAATCCACCGATTTTCCACCAAATTTAAAGTACGATGATGCTGAATCCTGTGATATAAATGTTATATCTAACATGTTTGCAGACTTCTTCAGTACAACATATTCTACTAAAACATTTAGCGGCAACAACTACCCTTTCGAAATTAATACTAATCAATCAATATCTATTTCACTATTAAACAGCTCTATGGTTTTAAATGGATTGAAAACTTTAAAGTATAGCTATGATTTTGGACCAGATAATATCCCGAGTTGCATCCTAAGGAAGTGTGCCGATGCTTTTGTTTATCCTCTTACCATACTGTTCAATGCTTCCATAACTCAAGCTGTTTTTCCTGAGGTTTGGAAAACATCGTATATCATTCCACTCTTTAAAAACGGAAATAAATCTGATGTGGCCAATTACCGAGGAATAGCAAAATTAAGCGTGATTCCAAAGCTTTTTGAAAAACTGATTACTGAAAACCTTATCCATTGCATTAGTTCTATTGTTTCACCCTATCAGCATGGATTTCAGAGGAAGTGTTCTACAACAACAAACCTCATTCAGTTCACTACAGTTATAAATCGAGGATTTCTTCAAGGAAAGCAAACTGATGT